AGTATAAAATTACAGGTGTCAATAAATGATCTAATCGGATAATATTACTCGAATCCATCCTAAAAAATCTGGATTCATGCTAACTCGTTTAATAACTAGGTCAAGTTCAGGTTTGAGTTTGAAATTCTGACTTGTTTAATTTGCATGTCAGGTTTAGGGTGACCCGTGAACTTGATAATAATGTGATTAATTATTATTTTTCCTGAAATTTATTTTTTGTTGGCACCACTTCTTATTTTTAATTAATTATCCTAAACTATATGATTGACAAGTTAGATTTAAAAAAAAATAAATTAAAACAAGTTATTTGGTTGAGTTAGAGTCATTCATGTTGCTCGTTGCTAGTGGGTTAGATATGTATTCACCTTTTGACTCATTTATTGAACCGGCGTGATTTAGGTCATGTCAATTTTAGATCAGGTTTGAACCGTACCCAACCTACCGCCAGCCTCCATCCACTGTTGATAGCCTCTAATCATCACCGTCGCCGGCCTCCATCCCCACCCGCCATCACCATCTTATACAATTTTCAATAAAAATATAATACTATTTATTTATGATTTTTTATATACTTTTATTTCATATTAAATATAGATAAAATAAATAAAAAACATAATTTTTTTTTTAACAATGATCTCAAATGGTCACCTAGTTATTAGACAACTTATTCCTTAATTTTTTAAATATGTTTTCAAGTACAATAAATGATATTTACATGGTCTTTTTCAAAATTTCCCCAAAAAAAAAAATGGTAGATTGGTGGGAAAATTATTATGTGCGGAATCCGAACATGTTAGGAGGCGAATTGGGGCGTGTCACATCACTGGAGCCCAGTGCATTTGATGACGTGGCGCGCCCCAATTCGCCTTAAAAAATGTTCGGATTGCACACAGAATAATCTCTCAAATTGATGAGGTTGAAGAAGGTGCGGCCTTAAAAAAATCTCCAATTCTTAGGAGATAAGCAACGCATATAAACCTTTGGGGGTCCCATTTGCTTTGATGTGTAAACTTTTGACTGCAATTGGCCTAACGTTCTAGACCTCTTAATTGCTTTAGCCACATTCAAATGGACCACAAAAACTTTATGCATGGAAGAATCTTTTAATGACTTTATTTAAATAATATATAAAACTAATCAAATATTTTTTAGTTGTTTATATTTACAAAAATCTTCATATCACCATTTTGATTTGTGCATGATAAAAAATTATATTATATATGCATATTATTTAGATTAATGCTTCATTAGGGACGGCTTTCTCACTGCTTCTTAAAATAACATTTTAATAAAAAATTTTAAATTCTTATACTAAAAAGTTGCTTTAAGAAGCGGTAATAAAGCCGTCCCAAACAAAGCCTAAATTCTCCATTTTTTTAAGGTTTAGAAGTAGAGAAGCACATCATATAATCACTATGGCTTCATTTTGGGACAACTTTCTTACTGTTTTTTAAAGCAGCTTTCTGGTATAAAAAAATTTAGCTAAAAAGATTTTTGTACTAAAAGCTACTTTAGAAAGAAATAAAAAAGCTGTCCCAAACAAAACCTATGTCTTCAGTATACGATTAATAATTTTGTGTCAATTTTTATGGGAATAGCATTATCATTATCATTATCTTTGAACTAATTCTCCTTTTGCATTTTTTAGGCATTAAATCTAATATAGATTAAGCTCATTTAATGGATCATTAGATGTACTAATAACATAAGCTGATAAAATTAAATTTTAAAGATTGGTAAAAGAAAAAGTAGGTGTATATTTTAGATAAAAATTGTAAAAAAAAAAAAATAGTGGACATAAATGAAGAATATCAAGTAAACATAAATTTTAAAATTTAAAGGTTTAGATACAAATCTCAAAAGGTAAGATTTAAAGAGTAGTTAAGCTCAATTATTGGTCATTTAATTAGTTGATTAATTTTCACATGAGGAAAATGCATTTGTTGCTTTTTCTTTTTTGTTTTTTTATTAATTACTCTTGCTTATTTTTGTTGCATGTGTTAATTTTTTAACTCCATTAGCTTTTACTAATGCTTAAGATTATGCAAACTTAATTATCTCCTAATGATCTTATTGGCAATCATGCTTATTTAGTTGGCTACAAATTTTAATTGATTTACTTGCATGTAATTAATATAGAAAAATAATATTTTGATGAATACGAAAATTTAATCCATTTCTATTTTATTTTTTTTAATTTTGATCGGAAAATCATGATCAAACTTATGATAAGATATATCTCAAATTCATTGAATTTGCTTTGGAATATATTGTTGGAGATGAGTAAAACATCAGAATGATGAAACAAGCAAGAAAGTAAAAGTAGCGAAAAATAAAGGACACCAAGGCTTAACGTAGAAAAGTTCATAATAGGGAAAAAAATAAACCACCGAGTCACACCACATCAATAAATCCACTATAAAAATTGGGAGAAATAAGTACAAATCTCTCCTCTCTCTTGCTCTCTCCTTGCTTCTTTTCTCACATGCACTGTTCTCAATGTCTAACATAATAAGAAATATAAGAGAAAGCCATTTATAACTACTAAGGGACACAACCCTTGAGAAAAGCGAGAAAACAAAAAAACTGTCTTGTCTGTCTCGTAGTGTTGCGGCGTCAATTTGGGGCGCTGCGGCGCTCAAGCCTTTGTCTGATGACGCCGCGGCGCTCAAACTTGCAGTATTGCGGCGCTGAATCCAGAGCGCTGTGACGCTCTGCTCACTGTTGATCAGTGTCAGGGTACTCTGGTACATATCACCGGGTGCTTGGGTATATATGTCGGGGCGTTGTAAAAAAAATAATTTCAATTTGGGGGTAACCCACCCAGCAAGCACGACAAATTTGAGGTCAGAGGCAACAAAACAACCTGATTGATCAACACAATCAGATTCCACACATAACATATATAACAATAATAACAACAATAAGTTTTTATCTCACTATGTGGGGTCGACTACATGAATCCTTTTTCTTCATTGTGCTCTATTTAGAGTCAAATTCTTATTTAAATCTAATAAGAAAAATATCATTTTTTATCATTTATAACCATGTCCTTCAATTTTTAGTCTACCTTTACCTTTTCTAAAATAGTCGGTCTCTAATACATCTACTCTTCTAATCAGGCCATCAAAAAACCGACGTATTAGGTGACCGAACCATCTATGATGACTCTCTCTAAACTTATTTACCACTGAAGCTAGCTACTCCAACTTTTTCCTGTAGCATTCTGTCTTTAAGAGTAAAAATCATTTTATGGGGAAAAGGTTGGAGGAAGACAACACCATTAAGAAAGACAAGGGAAAACGTGGCTATAAACCAAATTGAAAATATCTAAGCTTCCTTTAACTAAAAAAACAACAAATCAGTGAAAGCAAAGCCCTACATCTGAACCACCTAACGGTCAATTCATTCAATTATTTAAACATGGGGCCCCCAATAAATTTATAATCAACAAATGAAATCATACAAAGCGAAGTGTCCCAAATGCTTTATTTTAGTTTATTGAGTTTTTTACAGTGCTTTTCCCTCATTGCTGCTTTTGAAAACTTTTTTTTTAGTTTTTTTTATAATTGCTTTTGCTTTAACAACTTTTCTTCAAGGCCACACTTAGTAGACTCTAAGAGAGTACAATTCACGATATTTTTGTGAGTTAATTTGTTTATAACTTTAGCCTTTATTGTTTTAGTTATGTTGATGTTGAGTTTTAACTGTGAAGCATGAAACACAATTATCATATATATAAAATTAAATATATTAGAGTGAGATAGCTATAGAAAATTATTATCTAATTTTTTAATAGAAAAATAATATGACAACAGTTTTTAAGTTTTTTTTTTTTTACAAATAGTCCCTACAACAAGAACAACAACAACGTCAAGCCTTTATCCCACTATATGCATGAGATGGGCTACATGAATCTTTTTTCTTCATTGTGTTATGTTAAGAGTCAGATACCCATTTAAATCTATTAAATAGATGTCATTTCTAATATTTTCTAACCAAAATTTTTTAAGTCCATCTCTATCTTACTTAATATAAGTCAAATCTTATACATTTACTTTCCTAACTAGGTCATCGGAAGGCCTTCGTTTTATGTGACCAAACCATCTAAGGCGACTCTCTCTAATCTGTCTTTCATTGAAGCTACTCCAACCTTTTCACGTATTTGCTCATTTCATATCATGTCTATAAGAGTAAAGCCACTCATCCACCTGAGCATGCTTATCTCTGCAACACTTAACTTAATATTATGCTTCTATTTTAACAGCTAACATTCTGCACCATAAAGCATTGCAATTCTTACAACCATCTTATAGAATTTTCTCTTAAGTTTGAGAGGTACTTTTCTATCACACAACAACCAAACTTGAATTCTACTGATAATATTCTGATCCATTTCACTATTACCATGAACAATAGACCCAAGATATCTAAAACGTGTACTCTTATTAATAACTTGATCACCCAAATAATCTCTAACGAACATTTAAAAAAAAAAGGTGGAATTACATAAATAACATCGAAATTTTGCTTATTAACAAAACTAATATTCATGCCATTTTTTGAAACTATCAAACTCATATATTTGCACATAACACGATAAAATCATTGGTAATTCAACTAAGTAAAATAATATGTGGGGTTTTTGCTGTGAATTTCTTTATTTGGATAAGAGTTTGAAAAAAAAAAGTTAGTTTTGTAAAAAATTAAATTTTAAATGTTGAAATTGCCCCTTTAAAAAAATATAACCAATAAATATCAGAAATATCTGACAAGATCAAAATCTGCTCACAGTACTCCACACCTTCTATAAATACTCTGTACATCCTACTGAAAATCCTCCATGTCTCTTAGTCAATTCTCTTCCTTCCTAACATTCCAAAATCACAATAACTCTCTTTTTATATCCTCGATCAGTCTTCCATTCCATCTCTTGAATAACGATTAATCCCACACAACTCTGATTATCTCAACTCCCAATTCATCTTCTTCCTTCCAAAATGAAGAACAAACCTTCAGCCTTCTTGAAACAGATCTTCTCCTTCCTATCCACCATTGTTAAAGCCAAAACCATGGCAATGAAGAACAAAACCAGTGCCATCAAAACCAGGCTTCTCATCTTCAATCTTCTTCGCAACAAAAATGTTCTTTTGAGCAAAATCAACCACAAGATTCATGCCATTATGGGAGAGAATTACAGTAAGGCGATTGTATTATACAACAATGCAGCAGAGAAGATGTCTGCAAACATTAGTAAAATGGAGGATGTTGATCTCAATGGCGATGAAGATGAAGAAGATGACTATCCAGATCTTAGGAACACATTCTTAGAGTTGGAAGATGAAGATGAAGAAGATGAAGAAGATGATGAGATTGTTAATGGAACAGGATCTGTAATAGATCTGGTGAGGAACTCTAGGGGATATGGCAATGTCTTTTGTCTTGAAGATGAGATAGATCATGTTGCCGATGTGTTTATAAAGAGGTTTCATAGGGAGATGAGGATACAGAAGCAAGAGTCTTTCAAGAGGTATAGGGAGATGTTAGCAAGAGGTGTCTAGGAAGGAAGACATTCTCAATTGAATTCATCATCATCATCATCATCAGCATCTATGAAATTTATGAGAAATCAATTGAAAATTTTCATGATATGATAGAATAAGAATGGCCATGATCATGCATTATTTGTTTTAGAGAAAAAGCATGATGAATGGATAGTGTATGCTATAAATAATATATATATGATATATGTATGCTACGTGAACATGCTTTGTTGTTTTTCAATATGGATTATGTAATTTCATTTATGTATGCTACGTCTTTTTTATGAAATAGATTTTGCAGCTGTTGTATGAATATTGAGCATTTATTGATCTCTTGGAGAGGTGCTTATTTGATCTGAATGACTGGCTGAATTTCAAAATACTATTAAAAAAATTAAATAGAGTTCATAAATTCATTAATATACTGATAATTAATTGTAGTTCATATATTCATTTATAAATTGTAGTCCAATTACCACTTTAACTGGAGAATAATCCGTCTAGACTCCAATTGAAAAGAATCACGTCACCTGTACGTACTGTTAACACACAAGATAAGTCAGCAAACTTATATAAGCAAACCAACTTATATAATCCTGCTCCACCTTCTCTGCAGCGAATCATCACATGAAGTGGATGCCTGCTTACGCCGTCTGGCATCATCCTGCAACCTCTGAATCCTCTAACCGATTTGATTCCTTTTCTCTTGTTAAAAGAGCTCAATGTATTGTAGATGGGTATCAAGAATGAATACACAAAAATACCTCTAAACTTCATCTTCTTCATATGTTCTGTTTTATCTAACCTTGATTTGCAGGTGATTTAGTGTGTGTATTATACACACACTGTGTACAAGGTTGTACATAGTGTGTGTATATGTGACTTGACCTATATTGATTAGAGTCTGGATGATCCAGACTTTACACGTAATAATTTCTCCTTTAATTGACACTTTCTTAAATAAACTTGAGATCCCAAAACGTGAATTTTTGCTACAATCTTCACAACAAGTACTAAGTTACTGTAACATATGGCAAATAGGACCAAGAAAAGGGGACAAAATCCCTTAAAAAATACTTAAATACTAAGGATATAAAATTTGGTCATATGATTTAGGGAAAAAAAAAAAAAAAACTAAGCCTAAGTGGGAATGAAATATTTCAATAAAACATCAAAGCTGATCATCTTCCAAGTTTGCTAATTTCTGCAGCATTATCTGCTTCCTTCAGACAAATGATTTAAGTAACTCAACAATCCTTTTTCCCTATGTTTTAGAGGAAGACGGCTTCATTTGGTATAGTTTATTTATTTTGTTCTAAAGAAATTTTTTAGAACAAAAATTTCTAGTCTTAGAAAATTTTTAGTCCAAAAAATTTTTGTACTAAAAAATTGATTTAGAATGCAGTAAGAAAATTATCCCAAACAAAATCAAAATTAGGAACAACAGCACAAAACCGGCACTGATATTCATAATAATGTATTATACAATTTTGACTGGATACGCAATTAGATTTGCGTTTTCAAACATCATCAATTTCTTATGTTTGGCCAATAAGTTTCTATTAAGTTTTTAATAGGGGGAGATTTTGTATTGATATCTTGACCAAGTTGTCAAGATGGATCTCAAAGCAAATTCAATTTTTTTGAGTTTAGCGTACAAATTTGGGGCATTTGTAAAACCTGTCCATAGTCGTTAATGGAAGGGCAGTATCATTTAAGTTTAGCATTCAAATTTCTATGGTGTTTATATCTTTATAAATAAAAAAAACTAAAATTAACCAAAATAACTTGTAGGATTCCATCCCAATCTAAATGTGATCGAAACTTCACTTATTAGATCACACATGAGACCCAATAGTTATAGCTTATTATTAAGTTTTTTCCTCATTTACCCGGGACATGTTCACCTTTCTCTTGTTTATTTAAATATTTTAAACTTCATGTAGAAGGGGTCCTATATGAATGCTCAGCTAGGATTTAGGAAAGTTGATGATAAATGAAAGAACCCACCCCTCCCATTCTTTCTTCTCTCCCTATCAAACTCTTAATTGCTTCTCCTTTCTTCATCTTCTCCAACTTATTTCAATTTGTTTCCCATCATATAGTTCCTAGTGAAGCTATCATTTATTAGTTTGTGTTGATCAATCGAATTGTACTGCTGCCTCATACCTCAATTCCATCGGTCGAGTTCATCGGGTGAGGGTGTTGCAGGAGGTCTTCCTCTTGCTTGAGTTTGGGTGTTATGCTCACGAAATTTTTCCGTACAACGATACTGTCATGCCTCGAGATCTAAAATGTAAGAATTTTCATATTCTTTTTTATTATCTTTATTTATCTTTTCAACTCATTATACGCTGAAAGCTTACAAAATTTGGAGATAATATATTTTTAACATATTTAAGAGATAAAATTCATAGAAATCAAATTTTTCAAAGGTAGAGGTAAGAGGATAGTTACTTTTGATAAATAGAATAATTTTTGTAAAAGAAATAACCAATGAAAATGCCCCAACTCTCTCTCTCTCTCTCTATCCCTTCACTTACTCTCCACCCTTGGATTTCTGCCCATCCAAGCAATTGAGAGTGTGAGAGGGATGGGTGATGGTGAGGGATATTTATAATAATATATATTAAAATACTTTTAGTGGCCTAGCGTCGTAGCACTTGTACCGACCACCACAGAGCTATATGTAGAATTCAAAATTACTGTAGAAAAAGAGGCCTTAACATTGCGACAACATATTTTGGCATTGCTAGGCTCTCAAGCCAGTGTCTCAGCATTCACAATCTCAGCACCACAACATTCCAATTCAAATAAAAATTTAAACATTTCTTTTTAAAATATGTTTTCATAATTTGGGTTGTTACACGTACAATGTAATGTACTTATGTGTTGTGGCACTATATAGTTTACTCGGTGACAGACAAAGAGCGGAGCATTATGACGCTCCAAACCCTGATGCTGCCGTGCTTTCAGGGAGAGATGCAGCGCTCTAAACTTTTGTGTTGCGGCACTGTCAGGCAGACTGGAGGCAAAGAGTGGAGTGTCGCGACTCTCCAAACTTGGTGCCATTGCGCTGTGAGGTGAGCTGGATAATTTTCTTTCTCATTTTTCATGAAAGGTTGCATCCTTTTTGATTTAATTGTATCTCTTTATTAGTTCTAGCATGAGAATGGTATAAAAGGGGAGTGAGACATGGAGAGAGTGAGAGAAATAGCTATTTGTACAAATTTATCCAAATTTATCCAAATTTTCATAGTGAATTTCTTGTTGTGCTGTGATTCTGTGGGTTTTTCTTTGTGCTATTTCTTCTTGATGCATTTTTTCCTTTTTTATTTGTGTTTGTTGCTTGATTTTACTTCCCAACACTTTCGGCCATTACTCCTCCTCCTTAATTCCATAGCCACTATTAGAATAGCAATGAATAAACGTAATTATATTCACATATATTATTGCTGTCCTATAAGAACTTGACACGTGTAATCCCTATGTTGTACTACCTATATATACTACACTTGTATGTCTGCTGAATAATGAGATTTATTCTATTCTTGTTTCTATTGTCTCGGTTCTTGTTCATGTCTCTAGCTTCATCTTCTTGAATCTCTTCATGGTATCAAGAGTAGTTCCATCCTAAGGACCCTCCCATGGCGAACTCGACCTCAGCTTCTTCTCACACTGGAAACGTCTCAGGTGTTATTTTCAAAAAATTCCTCATCATTCCTTCTCTGAAATTCGTTGTCTCTAATCTCAAATCCCTCATTCCCCACCCCCTCTCATATGAAAACTACCCAATCTGGAGCAACCAAATCATCAAGCTACTCAAGGCAAATGGCTTCGAAAGATTTCTTGATCCCTCTTCCGCCATTGCACCATATCCGTTATTTCAAGAACCAAAAAATGATGATCCAAACTATGAGCGCACTAAATGGCTTGTCACTGATCAGAATCTTGCGGTGACGATCTGCTCCACCATATCTCCACAGATTTTTCCCAATGTCGTGCATCTTGAGTCAACAAAAGAGATCTAGAAAGCTCTTCAAACACGCTTCCAGTCGACGAATCACTCAAAGGTAATTCAGCTCAAGAACGAACTCCACAACACCTCAATGAACAATCTCTCAATGATTCAATACCTAACGGAGATCAAGAAGCTAGTTTATCAAATCACTTATGCTGGACCCAAGGTGGACATCGAGGATATCATCCACCATATCTTGAATGGACTCCCTCAGACATATCAATTGTTCAAAACTTCTATTCGAACAATGCAAACTCCACTTAGTCTGATTAATCTCTACGCCCTCCTCATTAGCGAAGAAATTCATCTCCAAACTGACACATCAAAATATTTAGCAACTGCAGACACTCAAATTGCACTTTACACGACTAAGGGTTGTGGAAGACGAGGTTGTGGATGCTCAGCCCAGAATGGAAATTATCAAAATCGCTCTAGACATGTCTCCACCCTTGTCTGCCAAATATGTATGAAGAAAGGCCACGCTGCCGATGTCTGTTGGCATCAGTTAAACACCAACTACACACCAACGTCAAATTCCTCCAAGACCAACAATGCTCTTCTTGCAACTGGCAAATTCTCATCCAACGATTGGTATCTTGATTATGGAGCCTCATCTTATATGAACAACGCCGTGGACAATCTTGATCACACAAAGGAATATCACGGCTTTGACACTGTCACCATCGGGGATGGAAGGTCTATTCTTATAGCTCACTCGGCACGGGTCTCCTTCCCACCCCGTCTCATAAGCTATATTTATCTAAACTCTTGCATATTCTGTCTATCTCACATAATCTTCTATCCATCTCTAATTTTGTTAAAGACAATCATATCTCAATTACATTTGATTCCACTAGTATTTTCTTTAAGGATATGCTGACCAACAAATAGCTCCTCAAAGGATCCTATAAGGACGGGCTGTACAAGATCTCTTCCAAGAACCACAGCAGCACGCCCACAGCTCTGTCCGCTGCTCACATTACTGTGCAAGAATGGCACAATCGCCTCGGTCATCCTCACCACGGGGTTCTTCAGCGCATCTCGTGCAACAATCCCACTCTGAATATACCGAATTTTTTTTCTAGTTGTGTGTCTTGTAAGACTTGTAAAAGTCACAAAATACCTTTTCCAATTCCTGAAAATCGAAAACAAAATACTCTAGAACTCATTCATTCTGATGTGTGGGGACCATCTCCGGTTCCCTCACATCAGGGCTTTAGATATTACGTCATCTTTGTGGACAATTTTTCACGTTTTATTT